ACGTTTATTGACACATAATTTGTACCAGGTACACCTTAAAATACTTTTAACACTTAAATCTGAGAAATAGGATGGAGTCTCAGTTTGTTTTTTTGGGGGTGCTGTGGATTCAACTGAGGGCTTTAGGCATGCTAGGCAAACCCTCAACCACTGAACTACATCTCCAGACTAGAAGGCTGAACTATATCTCCAGACCAAAAGAGCTACTATTTTTTTGAATAACATGATAAAGGTCAGAAGATACTCATTCTGTGATGTGCAAAGTAAGTCCATCTGACTCCAAAGCTTTTTCTTTAATTTATTAACAGTGGAGCTTGACTTGGCTCATGAAACCTAACGTCATGCCCAAGTCCATCCGGGGCCTGGGGCCACATCTAGTAAGAGCCTTCTTGCTGCCTCAGAACACAACAGCATCATGGGGGTGGATATCAAGCTCCAAGCCACAAACACTTTAAGAATCTAAACTGAAGCCCTCAAGATCTAAACACTTTCCTTTAGGCCCCACCTCCCAAAACTCCTGCATCTGGGCATTAAGTTTCTAACAAATGCTTTGGGGGTGTACCTATTTAAACCACAGTAATGACCATTTTTATGTACCAGTTTATCATCCAGCCATGCTAATCTTGGAGTCTCCTAAACAGACTATATCCTCTCCCCTTGTGCCACTGCATACAGTTTTCTTTCCATCTCCTACCTTATCAGTCTAGTCATCCTTTTAGTCTATGCCCTGCTAGGTTCTGCTTAAGGAACAAGTTAACCACTAAATGATTGGTGACTAACTGACCTGAATAATCCTTATTTCATCTTGAGGCTAAACCTAGAGCCCCACTTTTATGATGCCCTGTATGTTGCTCTAGCACAGTATTTTTTTCTCTTGTTTCCTGTGATACAGTACATCCACCAAAGGCGTGAAGTGGAGCTTACTTGGTTATCCTTCCAACCCTACCCATGGGGACTGGGGACTGGGACGGGCGACATCCCAGGCTTTTTTGGGACAGGGTCTGGCCAAGTGGTTAAGCTCCCCAGGCTGAGCTGGAACTGTGATCCTGCTCCTGCCTTGGACTCCCAGGGTGTCAGGATTACAGCACGTGTCACCACACCCAGCTTGTACCCACGTTTGTAGGCCCTGTGCATCACAGTGTCTGGGACACAGCAGACTCAGTGGAAACAAAGATAATTGTACAAACATCTCAATTACTACTCTGTTTCAAAGAACCAAGTAAAACACTGAATGTAAATATCAATGTTTACTTATAGACAATCAAACCAAAAGAAAGAATAATGAATTATTTGCCTTCTACTCAAAAATTAAGCTGCCCATTTGCGATAGTTTTTATACATCAAAAGTATTTTTAAAAAATAATAAAAGTTACTTTAGGAATCTAAAAGTAGTTTATTTGCTGAAAGAGTGGTATAAAATTTTATTTTGATTAAATAATGTTTGAAAGAATAGAATACAGGATGAAGTATTTTATTTACACAGATTCATAACATTTCTCACATAGTCTTTCATAGTTTTCTTAAAAGTTGGTTTTACAGATATGTTGTATTTATAGAACATTAGACAAAATGAGGTCATAATTCAGACAGTGAACTGCATACTTTCTGAAGCTATAGTCCTAAGTATCTTTCAGAATTCTCTCCACCATGTGGGATTTTCAAATATATTGACATTATGTTGGAAAAAAGGGTTGCACATCATTACCAGTAACTGCTAAGTTTGCAGTTAGTACTAATAATGAATTTGCGGAAAGACTACAGATGGACTGCAGAGACTATTCATCAGTCCTGGATGAAGAGCTCGGCCAACTGATACCTGCAGGGTTTAGTGTCTTGCATAGAATTTTAATTCACAAGAATTTCTTTGTAAGCCTGTGAAGTGGTGTGAGGTTTCAAAACAGGTAGATCACGTGTACAGTATTCTACCTATCCCTTTTTTATGGTATGTTGACAATTTATAATATAGACTTGCAGGATGTATGATGTTATGATCTATGAGTATAATGTGGAATAACTAAATCAAGGTACTTAACATGTCCATCACCTCAAATAACATGATAAATGAAATGTTCATAACAGAAAGACAAATGCCACAGGTTCTTACTTATATGTGGAATCTACAACAACCGAACTCATAGAAACATGGAATGGTAGTTACAGAGGCTGAGGGGTAGGAATGGAAATGATGACATAAGAGCACAAACTCTCAGGTGGACGGGAAGAATGTTCCTTCCCCTTTTTTTCCTATTGAACATTATGGTAAATGTCATATTGTACATTTCAAAATTGTTAAAACAGAATTTTCAAGCATTCTCACAAGAAAGCTTATACTTTTGTCTCCACGGCACCAACCTTCCTCCGAAATCATTAATACACATGAAAACAACTAATTTTTAAAAGCAGAAATACACGATAATATTACTCCTTTTTTTTATTTGCTAGGGCACTTTTCTTTCTGTAAGACATAGTGAATAGAAAAAGATTGTTTTAAATCTGTTTTAAATGGCTTTGGAGAATAGCCCCACAGAAATTTTTTTAAAACTCAAAATTTTTGGAACAAAGATAATGGAACCTTCATTTTCAAGTTAAACTACAACAAAAGAAAATAAAATTCTACTTCCTACTTAAGCACTGAATCATTACTGGCTAAAAGAAAATTATTTTTTTAATTTATACTGTAAAGGCTGGGGATGTAATTTAGTAGTAGAACACACGCCTCTCCCTGGGTTGAGTTCCCAGCACTGCAAAAATTAGTTAAGTTGATTGTGTTATACAGTTATTAAGAATTATCCTGAAGAAAAAAAGACATTGATAACCTAAGTCTCCATTTATTTTTAAAATCCCTCACTTTTTCCTTTATTAAATTTCAAGATATTTGAATTTGCTACTTGCAAGAGACAGAGTCATGAAAAACAATGTCCTGAATTACATGTACATGAGACATGTTACTCTATTCCTAGTTTAAAGAAATTGTGCTATCTTTCCTAATGACAATTTGATATTGAGGGGAAATTAAACAAGGAAATGTGATTGTGGATTTCACAGTACTATATTACACGGGGGAGGTTGTTTTGCTTCATTTTATTGTGTTTTTTGCATAAGGCAAAATCAAAACAGTATTGGACATCAATTACCACCTAAAGCAGTACGCCAATTTATTAATACTAGGTACAAGTTAATGCAGTTTTTTAATGGAGAGGGTTGAGACAGGATCTCGTTATATAGCCCAGGCCTTGAACTCATGGTGATCCTCCTGCCTCAGCCTCCTGAGTGCTAGGAGTACAGGTATGCACCACCAAGCCTGGCTAATTCAGTTTAAAGCGACTTGGCAGACAGGTTTAGTTCATGCATTTCATCAGAAGCAGCAGGGAATATATCCTATTAAATTAGTTAAGGTTTCACTTTGAATGATATATATGAACAAAGGTAGTTACTACAGTCATGAGTCCTGCTTATGCCTCCATTCTGGAACTGCAGAAAATTAACCTGTTAATATCTGTATCTAAATCTCAAATATTATGAAAGCTTTTCTTTAACAAATACTATTACTTGACAGACATGATTAAAAGAAGATCTGGAAGTTCAATTTAAAAATTCAAGAATTTACCCATCTGACTTCGTTTTTATGTTTCCTCTTTCAGCTACATGGCTGAATGGGGGAAAGGATGATTTACTACAAATACACAATCTATTTTAAATTTTCAATGCTCTAGTAGTTAACGTTAGTAATTTCAGGGCTGACAAAGTAACTCAGTGGTAGAGCAATGCCCTGGGTTGCATCCCCAGCACTGAAAATATTTTTTTAGCAATTTCAGCAACAACAAAACAACAGCAACAACAAAAAGAAACAGAATAAAAGAGAATCTCTGACTCATAAAATCCCAAGTGTATATTTAAGAATGCTCTTATAATAGTTTATTTCTATATTACAATAAACATAATACAGTGTCCAGGACCACTAATTTCTCTTAAGGTAGATAACTGACCTTCAGCAAATATATACAATACATTATATACAATTAAGAGAAAATGCTGGCCAGACATGGTGGCACATGCTTATAATCCCAGCACTCCAGAGGCTGAGGCAGGAGGATCACTGCTAGTTTGAGGCCAGCCTGACCTAAAAAATGAGTTCAAGGCCAGCTTGAAATGCATAATGAGACCCTGTTTCAAAAGGACAAAAAAAAAAAAAAAAAAAAGAATGAATGAAATGCTGCCTGCCTCACAGCTGGGTATTCACATTATGCTAGACCTTTACCAAGGATCCCTTCCCACTCAGAATCCCTAGTATCAGTGTTCTGATATATAGTAGGTCATGGTAAAGAAAATGTCTTCCAACAAAGTTCAAGCCAAAATTTTAAGATCAATTATAATAATTAAACTATGCTTCACTTCCCT